GTACCGTATTTTAAAAATCAAAATGATATGTATGTCTATCCTTTAAAGTATTGAAAATGTAGATGCTTCGTAGTGATGCAGAAAGCAAACCAGAAGAGTTTAATTAACTTATTATTTTAAAATGATTACTTGTTGACTTAGTTTTAGCCGTTAATCAAATAAACGTAAGATAGGTATTTGAAGTCTTGTGGAGAAAAATAAAAAGGGAGGGTTTAGTCAAGGTACATCTGAGTTTTTATCTGAGACAAACATTTCTAAGAATGCGTGTATATTCAATATTAAAAGCTCAAGTATTCTCAGTGTCAAACTTAAGATTTTTATAAAAGAGTATATCCTTTCACAGACAAAGGTAGATTTACGTATTGCACAGATTTGTGTCTCCTACATAACTAAAAATTTCAGGATGATTCCTGGAGTATTCGATTGTTTTCAGAATGTTACCATTGCAGGTTTCTTATTGACTCAATCAACTTTTTTTGAAAGTTGAACACACTGGTATGTCAGATATTTAGTACCACAGTCACATGCTGAAATTCATTAGTCAAATATAGCCTCAGGAACCTATATTATGATTTCTACTTATAAAAACCTGTAACTTTCTTAAGAAATTGTGACTGCATTTTATTCATCTATGCCTGCAGTTTTACAGACTCTGGGATTCTCTTCATCTTAAAATTCGTTCAGTTTTCATTTTCTATTTGCTTCACCCATTTGACAGTTTAAACAAATGTATTAAAATTATTTGAATAAGTAAGCAATGTACATGTATTGTTCTTGCCGTTTCAATTTTAGTATATAAGGTGTCTAATTATATGCATTAGGTAAAATAACCTCATCAGTCATTAGAGATCAGAAGTTGAATTAAGCTATAGAAAATGTTGATTTTTGAAAGCAGCCCAGTATCTTGTCAGCTTTCCATAACCTTTATATTTGACTATAGTAGAACAAACATAGTATATATATCCCTGATCTATTTATATTTTATAAAGTGGAAATGATTAAAGGGGCAAACAAGTAGTACATTCATATCCTTGGCCGTTTCCTCCTCCATGTAATGCTGTGGGTCTGTTTTGCAAGTTTTGGTGTAACTTCTTCAGCAAGTGGTAGCTAGCTAGGCAGAGCTTTAATTTTTTTCTCATTTGGACAAACTTATTCTCATGTCATTGCAAACTGCCATGTGCAGGAGGTAAACACAAAATGGTTTTCTGTTTACTGTCATTCATGCGTTCTTCAAATTGGTGTATAGAATCTGTACAGGTAAAATATTTTTGGCTTAGGATATAAGTTTAGCCACACCTCTGGGTCAGGAGGCCTCATTTGTCCTATAGCCTATGTTTTAAATCCAAGGAAGACTGGATGGTAATAGTGGTCGGATGAACTCAGCATTTACTGAAAAGGTTTTGAAATGGCAAGATCAGGATGTGATTTTAGCATATCATAGAAAGAGAAAATAGTGCTAAATAAGAATGGCAAGACAAAGAACAAATAATGTGGGTAAATCAGGTGACTAGCTAAGTTAAGATCAAGTTTGAGAGAAGTGCCCTCAACTCTCAGAGGTTACTCAGAACTTTAAGATTGTTTATAGGTTCGTGGTTCACAGATGAGCAGGTTGTACACAGTTGCCAAATTGGACAATATCATGGTGTTCTATTGTAAATTAGGTTTTTCTACAAATTTTTCAATGTTAATTTTTATTGTCACTTTTCCAAACTACTTTTTTTACCCAAACCACTTATAGTACACTTAATGGAGTTTAGTTATACAAAACCACCTTTAATAAGAATTTTGAAACCTAGAGCCACTAAGAGATAAGTTCTATGGTTATATGCTTGAAATAGAAGCCAATAGGCCGGGCCTGGTGGCTCATGCCTGTAATCGCAGCACTTTTAGAGGCTGAGGCAGGCGGATCACAAGGTTGAGATCAAGACCATCCTGGCAATCATGGTAAAACCCATCTCTACTAAAAATACAAAAATTAGCTGGATATGGTGGTGCATGGCTATAATCCTCTTGGGAGACTGAGGCAGGAGAATCACTTGAACTCGGGAGGTGAGATTGAGTCACTGTATTATTTTAGCTTGGCAACAGAGAGAGACGTTGTCTCAAAAAAAAAAAAAAAAGAAAAGAAAAAGAAAAGAAATAGACCAATATAGTAGTTTTTCATGAAAATATTGAATTTCATTCTTATCTGTAAGAAACCTTATATTAAAATTGAAATAGTGTGCATAATCTGGCATTTGTCAATAAATCTTTTATAGTAATTATACATTAATTACTCTATAAATTATTAAACATTGAATACTTACACAAATATTATATGAGGAATAAAAATGAAAATACTCCAAATTATTGAGAATAAATTTTGTTATTCTTTTCCAAACTATTAAAACAATCAATAATACTTTTTGAGTTGTATAAGTTCCTTATACACTCTGGATATTAAACTTTGTTGGGTGACAGCTGGTGAATATTTTCTTGGATTCTGTAGGTTGTCTGTTTACTCTGTTGGTAGTTTCCCTTGATGTACAGAAGCTCCTTGGTTTAATTAGGCCCTACTTGTCAGTTTTTGTTTGTTTCTATTGCTTTTGAGGACTAAGTCAAACTCTTTGCCAAGGCTGATATCAGGAAGAGTATTTCCTAGGTTTTCTTCTAGGATTCTTATAGTCAGACGTCTTACACTTAAATCTTTAATCCATCTTGAGTTAATTTTTGTATATGGTAAAAGGTAGGGGTCCAATTTCATTCTTCTACATATGGCTAGCCAGCAATCCCAGTGCCTTTTTATTGAAGAGGGAGTCCTTTCCTCATTGCTTAGTTTTGTCACCTTTGTCAAAGATTAGATTGCTGTAGATAAGCAGCTGTATTTCTGGATTTTCTATTTCATTCCATTGGTCTGTGTGTCTGCTTTTGTACCAGTACCATGTTTTTATGGTTACTGTAGTCATGTAGTATAAGTTGGAGCCAGATAGCATGATGCCTCCAGCTTCGTTGTGGTTGTTGTTGTTTGCTTAGCATTATTTTGGCTATTCAGGCTCGTTTTTGGTTTCACATGAATTTTAGAATAGTTGTCTTCTAATTCTGTGAAAAATGATGTTGATAGTTTGATAGGGATAGCATTGAATCTGTAGATTGCTTTAGGCAGTATGGCCATTTTAACCATATTGATTCTTCCTAACCATCAGAATAGAATGCTTTTCCATTTATTTGCATCATCTATGATTTCCTGCAGCAGGATCTCCTGGCAGAGATCTTCACCTTGTAGAGAAATATTTCATCTCCTTGGTTAGATGTATTTATAGATATTCTGGTTTTATTGTGTGTGCGTATTTTAAGTTAGATTATGTTCTTAATTTGGCTCTCAGGTTGAATCTATATGTGTGTAGAAATTCTACTGATTTTTAGGCATTTATTTTGTATCTTGAAACTTTATTGAAATCGTCTAACTGTTCTAGGAGCCTTTCAGCAGTCTTTAGGATTTTCCAGGTATCGAATCAGTCAGTGATGAGAAACCCCTTGACTTCTACTTTTCCTATTTTGATGCCTTTTATTTCTTTCTGTTGCCTTATTGCTCTTGCTAAGACTTCCAGTAATATGTTGAATGTAGTGGTGAGAGTAAGCATCCTTGTCTTTTTGTTGTTCTTCCAGCTTTTGTTCATTCAGCAGGATGTTTTGGGTTTGTCATATATGACTCTTACTTGACAAATGTTCCTTTGATGCCTAGTTTGTTGAGGGTTTTAATCATTGATAACCCCATTAAAAAGTGGACAAAGGATATAAACAGGTACTTCTCAAAAGAAGACATACAAGAAGCCAACAAACATAAAAAATGCTTCGTATCACTAATCATCATAGAAATGAAAATCAAAACCACAATGGGATATCATCTCACACCAGTCATGGCTACTGAAAAGTCAAAAGTAACAGATGCTGCAAAGAAAAGGGAAAGCTTATACACCTGTAGAAGGAGGGTAAATTAGTTCAGCCACTGTGGAAAGAAGTTTTGAGATTTCTCAAATAACTTAGAACAGAATTACCATTTGACCCTGCAATCCCATTACTTGGTAAATACCTAAAGGAAAATGAATTATTCTACCAAAAAGACAATACGTGTTTGAAATATTTTGAGCCCCTCTACTCACTCATATGTTCATTGCAGAATTATTAACAATAGAAAAGACATGAAATCAACCTAAGTGCCCATGAATGCTAGATTGGATTTTTTAAATGTGGTATTTATATGCTATGGAATACTACACAGCCATAAAAAAGAATGGAATCATGTCTACTGCAGCAAAACTGATCTAAGTCATTATTCTAAGTGAATTAAGGAAGGAATAGCAAACCAAATGCTGCATGTTCTCACTTATAAGTAAGAGCTAAATATTGGGTACACATAGACATGAAGAGGGCAATAATAGACACTGGAGACTACTAGAGGGGAAAGGGAGTGCGGGCAGGGGCTGACAAATTAGCTATTGGATGCTATGCTCACTACCTGACTGATGGGGTAATTTACACCCCAGACTTCAGCATCACACAATAAGGCCGTGAATAAACCTGCACATGTACTGCTTATATCTAAAACAAAAATTGAAGTCGTAAAAAAAATCAACCACATTCTTGATATGCTTGATAAAAGCCCAGTATCATTTTTAACATTGAACCTTTTTCCATTAACCTTCTTCCAGCAAGTTTCTATTCCTTTCAAATATTTGACACATCTCAGAATAAATAGTACAGTCTTAGAAAATGATTTAAAAAGTGCTATTTTCTTTCCTCACCTTCATACATTCGGAAAGCAGTGAGAGAACCCATATAGGTCTGTAAAACCCACGTGCTTATTTATAAAATCCAGTGTGTCTCTAAGCAAATTGATGTTATTGGTGCCCTATTTAGAATACGTGCATTGTAAGTAATCAAAACTTATATGTTTTGCCTGAGCAATTAAATGATTATTAGAGGTGGCATGTTCATAATGACTTTTCTGGTTTTCTTTGAAGGAGCCTCTGTTTCACCTGGAATCAACCATATCCGAGAGAGGAAGAGGCAAATGTCCTTATGACTCCAGTTCCTCCTTTGTCTCCACTTTAATTGGTAATTATCGTTGCCACTGACATCAGGTGATAGTTGTAATGATTTAAAAACGTACTTTTCAACTTCAGTTACATTCTTTCAGCATTTCTTTATATACTCTGCCTTGTCGTATCTATTTTCTGGTGGTCAAAGCAAAGATATTAAATTTCGCTGGGTGCGGTGGCTCACGCCTGTAATCCCAGCACTTTGGGAGGCCGAGGCGGGTGGATCACGAGGTCAAGAGATCGAGACCATCCTGGTCAACATGGTGAAACCCCGTCTCTACTAAAAATAGAAAAAATTAGCTGGGCATGGTGGCGCGTGCCTGTAATCCCAGCTACTCAGGAGGCTGAGGCAGGAGAATTGCCTGAACCCAGGAGGCGGAGGTTGCAGTGAGCCGAGATCGTATCATTGCACTCCAGCCTGGCTAACAAGAGCGAAACTCCATCTCAAAAAAAAAAAAAAAAAAAAAAAAAAGATATTAAATTTCAAGCCACGTTAACTTGAGCAATTTGACTCTAAAATAAGTGCAGATACTATAAAGTATATGTGTCTCACTCAGAAAAATTGTCATTCAATATCTCATATATTTGGTGTCATTTGATGCTTAAAAATGCAATTATTTGAAGGCTTTATAAAAATTTTGCCAAAACGAAAGTATTTTAATATATGTTAATTATTCATGTTTCAATTACTTTGCGACCTCAGAGAATTTTAATATTCTTTATGGTACATTTCTCTGTTATTAGAATTCGGCAGAAAGTCATCTCTTTTAAGAAATTTATTTATCTAAATTTCTGTTAATCTAGAGTGTGAACTAGAGGTTGACCCGCTCAAACTATTACTAAATGTACATGTTGAAATAATGCCATGAGTTGATAAAGTTGGATCTGGAGTTCAATCCAGTTCAATTTAATTAGACAAAGTACCAACAATCTCACTTAAGACACATCTAAGTAATATTTTCCTACCGTTCGGGGTTAAAAATTGCCAACTTGGCAAACTGTTTCAGCACTGTGACAGTAAAGACTGATGAATGAGTTCCTAAGCATGAAATTAAAAAGAGCAATCCCCAACACCTAACATAGGCACTGATGGTAATGATTTTTCTCCTCAGTGTTGAGAGGTTCTGATGCATGTACAGTGCAGATGTGCAAGGTTCTATTGTTACATTTATAATGTTTAGAGTTATATGCTAATATTAGGTCACCTTCTTTGTAGAAAATGAGATAATACAAAATAAGATAGAGATTTCATATTCTAAATAAAACATTAAAACTTAAAACCCTCCCCTGATGATTGAACCATGTTACAATTGATTTAAAGTTGATATAGCTGCTACTGTGTGTTCCTTAGAATCTCTGTTCCCTGAACTTATTCAAGACAGTTTATTCTGATGGTTCTTGCACTCTACTGGCTACACTCCCCTACCCCACATCTGGTTATCAGGTATAAAAAAATAAAGCTTTTAAAAACATATGTATTTATATAGCAAATGCCTCATGTTAACTCTAATTAATGGGAAAAGTTTGACTTACTTCAGCTTCTTAATTTGACAAGGCTATAATATGAGAATTATATAGTAATTAAGTTCTTCAGTGGCTTGAATAAATAGGTACAATATTTAAAAAATAAATATTAAAGAAAAATATTATTTTGAGTTTCCCTACCAATTGTGTGTGTGTGTACGCGCACGCATGTATGTGTAAACAGAGTATTAAAAAAAGGAAAAATGTGGGAATATGGTTGCCTAAATCAGGTTAGACTAGTAGAAGTCACAACCTTAGAAATAACGCTTTTGGGGGGTGCCAGATCCATAAATTCTGGAAACTCCAAAGAGATTGAAAGAATATAAATTAAAATGTATTTATCTGATAGGCTCGTACATCTTTTTCTAAAGTTGTTAGTGATTTTTTTCATAAATATTTTAATATGTTTGAAACAAAGAGACTTCTTTCTTGTGCCATGTAGTCTCTTGCAAAGACTAGGTCTCCTATAAAAACTAAATGTAATACTCACTGAGTTTCCTAAACAAATACAAAATTAATTTTGGCATGTTGTTTTCATAAGAATCATATAAAGGGAATTGGAAACTAAAAATTACACAGTATATACTGCTTCTGTAGTGAAATCCTGAGAATATTAGAAGAAAAATTATTTTTTAGCATTTCATTTAAATAGTTAAAAATAATTTCTATGACCACCTTGCCACTCACTACTTAGTCTCCCTGGAGGTCGTTTCTGCATGAAGCCAAGAATTTAAAAGTGGAATTTCTAAGAGGGGAAATATTACTGGGGGGACATTTCCAAGTGAGTTTCATTGAACTTCCAAATCAAATTACACTATGCTGAAATCTGAAGTGCTTGCCATCTGGGTGGCTGTTTCGCTTATTCAGAAGAGAAATCAAATCAAAAGAGCCCTCCAAGTTAAACACAAAAGTTATAGAATAATCCCTCCAAAGAGAAGAAATAAAAATATAATTCTTCACATTTATCCATTCACTTTCATCCCAAAGTACCTTAGAGAGATCATTCACTCTGTGGAAATGCAGCAGCCACTGGATGGAAACCTGATAACCTATGTGAGCCAGAAACTCTTTAAAAGAGGGGAAGTAAAAATAATTCACCCAATTGAAAAAGCAGCAGGAATGTAGGCTGGAAAAATGGAGCTACCTGAGTCGGAATTTGGCAAGCTCGGTACAGCTTATTCTGACTGAGAAAGAATGCATTAATGTGGTATTTTGTGACCACACATGTTATCTGCTGATGGGTTAAGACAAGACTCCAGCAAAAGATGACTATTGTTAGACTATTGCTACTTCTTAGTTTCATGGTTAATTTTATGTCACACAATGTTTAATATTTGTTCACATGAAGACAAATTTAATGATAAAACACTGAAACTGGTAGCATACTCATAAAGCTACTTGACATCAAAAAAAAGGTGCTTGCAAATTAGAGAATTTCCTAGTTTCAGATGCAATTTTAATTCAGTTAACTTAAATTCAGTTGACTTAAGAGCATATGGAGAAGGGGTTAATAAAAAATAGAATAAATATTGAAGCTTATTTGATAGAAGACAAGTTATAAAGCACATTTTTATTCAATGTCTAATGTAATTTAGAAATGAAACCTTGATAGCTTATAATAATTCTATGTGACAAAGGATTTAAGGAGTAAAAGCAAGATTCTTACTGTACTATGTTGTATATGTTCAGAAACTAATCGAAATGAAATCATAATATTAAGTAGGCTTGAGCTTCCAATGGCTCTTTGTAGTAACACAATTAATTTTGGTAGCATATCAACTCATATCTCAGGTGCAGTATTTCTGCATTTTAGCCAAGTTTTCCTCCAATGTGATTGGTCCTACTGTATTTGAAGTGGTTTTAAGTAACTGTCTGAAGAAGACAAGGCATTATAACTTGCTTTTAAAAGCAACTTGTTGAAACAATAAATTTTTCAGTAAAATGAATTGCTGTACTGCTTATCCATGGCTTTCAAATCATCCAAATATAGTAATTATCTTGCTACTAAATTGTTAAGTTGGGCGATTGGCCAAGTAAAAACCCAGGAAATAGTGTTCTATATGTCATATGTCATTTTGGCCAAGAAGAAGATATTTTTGCTGACTCTTTATATCAATTATGTCTCATATAATACTGCAGTATTCTAATTAAGTGGATAGTATCTTCAGTAACATTACTATCTACCATAGTTTCTCCTTTAAATTCTATTGCCATTTTTTAAAAATTTTATTCTGACCCACACTTGTATTACCAGTTCCAGGTATAATCTTACCATGACTGAAGTGTCTAAGGTATGATAGGATACATGTTGCTAGTGTTTGGGGGAAAAAAAAACAAACAAACCCTGATTCGTCATGTACCTTTTGACACTTTACTTTGAATGTATTAACTTTGTTGTTGGAGTATTTTTAGGGATGGCTTTCAAAGTAAATGTTCACTAAATTTTATTTCAGCAAATAATTACTAATAAGACATTTTATTGTACATGAATTTTTTTCTACACTTTTTTCCTATTGCTTTTTTCAGCAAAAAAAATTACAAAGTTTACAGCTGCTGAAATCCCTTCATGACTGAACTTTTATCCCTAACAATACCTTTGTGAATATATATCCTCATTATTAATTTTGTAAATTAAAGGTCAATGTCAATTGAATGAAAGGGAGTTGAATGCATGCAGAGAAAATTTAAGTTACTGTTTCAAGTTCTTAATAACAAAGCATTTTAAATAAATAATTGTTTATTTTTAGTTAACAATAATTACATGCAGGGAATATATCTGGCACAAAGTAAGATCATTTATTAGAAAAATAAATGAAAAAAATTCTAAACGAAGTTAGAATATATGTCTTTATATTGGTAAGTTCTACAAACATAAGTAAATGTACTGTCTGATTTTTTGAATTCACCCTAACTGTACAGAAACGTCAGGTTATTCCCTTACCACTTTCCTGTCCCTAAAGAATATCTATAATTTCTTTTCCAAGGCTTCTGCTCACGGTCTCACACTTGGCAGAATGCCCATTATCCACATGCTTACTGTAGCTTCTGGTCATGACTGCTAGTCTCTAAGGAGCTATTTGAATACTTTGCTTATGGTTCCTTCACAATGAAAAGAAAATCAAAAGAGGTAAAAGAAGAAGAAAAACCACCACTCTTCAATTCCCTGCTTATATTCTCTCCTTTGAGAATCAGGTTTAACCATGATGGTATCAATATCATTGGTTTGCTACCAAGAAAACTCAAGAGTACAGCCACGGGTGCTGGCACATACAAATGAACAGATTTAAAAGATGGTTTTCTTTTTCCTGAATGCCTCAAAACCACCTTCTTAACATTGATAGCTGGTGCTAATCATCTGCCCAAACCAAAAGAAACCGAAAGCCGAAACAACAGCGAAAGGCCTGATAAAATCACACCTTCTTCCTGGTGTCTTTAAGCATCCTAAGGAGAATGTGAGTGTGAACTGCAATGTTGAAATATGTGAGCCATTTT